ATCATTTATAGCTTAAGTTATAAAATTGCAGATTAAGATAACTACATAATATTATTTTTTTTCGCTTATATAATTAGGTTTTAAAGAGCATATACTCAAAGATTACGTGATATATTCAAGAGTCATATGTTTTCCTATATCATGCGCTGATGTAAATAAAGGAAAGGGAGATTTAAATGTTTTCATTTTGTTTCCTCCGCATTTGATAGTTTACCATATATCCCTTTTCTCTATATAATCAGTCTCTAAATATAAAGTTCTAAGATTAGCTTTAAATAAATCTGTCCTAATGATGACGGATTACATGACTAAAGCTTTGCAATAACAACGACTCTTAGATATATTTTTTTGAAATTTTACAATAATTTTGCATTCATTAGTTATGCTACTACAACTTTTATTATATCACAATTATTTAATTAACTATAATTATAAGTGTATGATCTGTATTATGAAACATAGTTATTATATTCTTACGGCTTAGGATAGAACGGTAGCAGTAAAAATAAACAGGAAAGCAATTCATTAAGAAATATGTATTATATAATAAGTTATGTCTGAAAAATTATAGATTAATGTGCATTGCAGCCCTTTAGCTTTTAGACAACATTCTTTTTGATGCAGTCCACGAGACATCTTAGAAGCTTCATCGAAGCCCGGTTACTCTTCGTATCTAAACTATATACGGATGTAAATGCTTTTTAGCATGGTTAGAATTTAGGCAATTATTTTTAACTTTATCATCTGTTATCGTTTTATACAGCTCTAGCTCCTAACCAATTTATACCTTCTTTATAAGGATATACCTCAAGATTTAATTAATATAAGCTAATAAACCTCCTGTTTTATCCATATAGCAATAGATATGGATAGATAGACCTTCTAGATACATTATGTGAGGGGGTTGCACGATAATAGTAAATAAGCAATGTACATAAATCTATGAATTTTAAGGCTCCCCGTATTATATAATCCATATTTTCTTAATTAATTAATTTCCTATTTATTTTTACAATTGACATTCTATCCTAATCCGTAAAAATAAAATAAATTGTTCTCTAATACAGGCCATACCTTTAGCATGTTAATTGATTATTGAATGCACTTATTATTTTCATCCCACGTTTACACAGCTAATCTCTGAGAAGCATCCACCTTCAGATATATCCCTTTGTTAATCTTCCGAATTTACTATAGATTCTTTCTTTATCCACTACTTTTCAGCCTCACAAAACCAGAACACAACTCCTGTATATACTTCAAACTTTGCAGTAGCTAAAGCATATATGAAAACTGGTTCCTCTGCCTTAAAAGTCATCCAAACCATAACTGACATACACGACCTTAGAGGCAAGACTTCGTGTGGTTTTGCCTCAAACAATTCATCCAACATTTTTGGAAAAATGACATCTGAAGAAGTGACTCAAAATCAAGTAGAGAAAACAGAGAAGCAACTCTCTCTTTCACAAGCACCACCACCATTAATTACGCATACAGAAGCCACTCCAATGCCAACACCACAGGGAAGTCCTGTGGGACATTCAAAGAGCCCTCGTGCACTCGAGAAGGCTAAAGAGACTACAAATGCAGCTGATATTTTTGGTAAGAAGGCAGCTTTTACAACGAGTTATCATCCTTACCACAACCACCACCAGCGCCACTACCATCATCGCAATCAAAAAGAGGAAATAAACACATTCTGGCCAGGACATGGGCCAGAGATGTCCTCACTGAGGACAAGGATATCAGATGAAATGACGCAGAATCATAAAGAAACCATACTGCAAAGAGCCAGCCAAGTAGCAGATGGTGGATGGAAAAATAGTATGAACAGACTAGCGGTGGAGACGATTCAATTCAGCGAAGAGATTGGAATATTTGAGAGAAAAAGAAGTCTATCACTCAAGGTGACAAAAACACAGGTAACCAATTTAAAATACTTTAAGTACAGAATAGAGTATATTTTGTAAATATATTTTTTACAAATTTGATTATCTGATATTATACACACATTTAACTAAAACTGTTCATTTCTAATCAATAACTCTTGTCAAACCAAAATTAAATCCCCTTCTGAATAATGATTTATTATTCATGAGAACAAAGTTTGAAGTGGAAACCCTCAAATAATT